TGTATTCATAAACTAAATTATCATTTAAGGAAAGATTAAAGCCCACGTTCATTAAATAAGATGAAGAAAAAGAAGAGACAGCATGGTGATCTACAACATTTAAAAGTTGTTACCATCATAAGGAAACCTTCAGAGTGGGACACAGGCTTACATGCAGGAAGAACTAGATGAGCTAGATTCACATAGATACCTGAGGATACAGGGAATATGCCTGAATCAGGCCAGACAATATTCCCCCAAGATGTTAAGTGTAAATTCAAACTTTTGAAACTGAAGTTGACAATGCACTGGCCTTTGCTTTGCAGGGAGCAATCTGTTAGAAAAATGGGCTGGGTGATTCAATTGCAGAATCACAGGAACAGAGAGAACAGAAACACCTGAAGGGCAGCATCTGAAGAAGTGACAGGTCTGAAACACTTGCTCCTTATCTTAAATATCTGCTTTCTCCTTCAGTCAGATATATGGAAATCCGCACATGCTTTACAACCAAAAATGGCCCAAATTAAATAATCTTGTAGCCAGTAGCAATAACTCAGTGCCCATATTACAGCAGATAACATGATTGCACGTGTGTGGGCCAGCACCAAGTTGTCATCTACAGTTGCCATGGCTTCCTGAAGTACTAATGTCTTCTAACACTTATAGAAGACTAAAACAAGATGCTAGCACATGAAAATGAGCACACTAATCTCAGCAGTTAGGGTGGTGGAGAGAAGCAGGTCACAAGCATGTAAAGTCATTGTGCTCTGTAGTCTGATTATCAGTTATCTTTACCATCCTGTAATTTCCCAAACCCAATGGAGACATTGCAGATGTTGTTTCGCACAGGTTATAATCTACAAGAATCAGAATCTTGAGGGAATAAAGACAGAGGAAAGAAAGTAAGAATATCAGACTACAGCAGCAGAGGACCATTGTCACAACTTCAGCTTTTTTACTTCAGATAATCACTCTTGGTAAGCACTGCATGCTAAAGGAACACCTTCTTCAGACTCAATACTCTAAAATTAGTACCTTTGGAGACAAACGGAATAAAAGCCTATATATTCAGAATCCAGAAGAATGCCTGTACTTATGTTTTATAATCATTATTAGATTTTGTTTTCATCTGCTCTTTTATACTATAATTTTAAAACTGGATGGAGTAGTGTTTGGCAAGTTCATGCCAATATGGCACAACACAGAAAAAAAAAGTAAATGCGCTCCTGCAATATTTCAGCTAAAACATTTCCAGGAAAACCCGGAAGTGAGGAAGTATTTAATAGAATTCTATTTTTAAAAGTATCATTTCATCTGGGTTATCTGCACAATCTTGTTCTCCTGCGTTCAAATTTAAAACCAGAATTACTACAGAGAAAGGCACCTAAAATGAGAAAGAGATTAAAGAGCTTGTTTTGCTAGGAGACGAAGTAAAACACAAAGATGACAAGTGACAGGGGGAGGAAAAAGAAAGTGTAGTGCAGTGGTGGAGGAAGACAGAGAAAGATATTAAGGGACAAGTAACAGTTGACCAAAATAATAATGAGAATAAGTTGAGAGAACTGGTATGAAAAGGTATTGGAAGGAAATGAGAAGATTGTCAATCCTCAGCACTTCCAGTAGAAAGCTTGGGAAGGCTGAAGGAATAGGAAACAGCCAACCAGGCTTACAACAGGGACACGGTCAAAGCTGACCATTGTCCCCCCCAGCACCGCACCTGGGCCTGCCCACATACCTTCTGCTTCACCTGCCCTGGTCTTCATAAATAAAAGGTTGCTAAAAAATTACTTGGGGCTGCTTAACCTACTTGACACAAAAAGCAGTAAGGCCTTCCTGAATTGCCTCAAATAATATTCAGTGCTTTGGAGCTATTTTTATCACATTTCCACATTTAAAGGAACACTGTTGCATTCGATAACAGAGGAAGTTATTAATTAGGTTGTTAATAAATGTTTATAAGGCTATGCCCCACAGTCTGTGTAAACACTTTCCTTTTCTGTGAAGAGATTTCTGCAGAACCACTGAGGGCAACAACCTCATATAATCCAGATAAATGCATCAAGCTCCAATTTAAAAGTTAAATTTTCTGCTCAAGCTAATTCAGCCAGGAGCCTGTTCCAAACATCACTCTGCTGAATTTCAGTATGCAATTACTCATAGAGCATTTATAAAAAGTTATTCTTGTAGCAATATTGTCCTTGAGATTCAGCCACTCTATTCCTTCTGCAGTTATTCCTTCTTGTGTTAACATGGTGCAGTCAGTTTCTCTCCCTTCCCTCTGTTTACTTGGCCACACAAGCAATGTTGCTGTCATCTCCTCTTAGAAGACAGGACCTCGGCCATGCCTGCAGTCCTCCCCACATCCATTCCTGTTCCAAACAGTCTCTTCTAGCAAGATGCTCAACTCTGTCTTTGTTCCTCCTTTCTTCAAAACCATTACTGCTTATATACTATGGTTAATAATCTCTTAGATATTTGCTTAGGTTACAAGTAATAGATACATGAAAGAGCTCAGGAGAAAATTAAGAAACCATGACAGAAGGTAAGTATTTATAAACTAGTATTATTTACAACCAACTCTGATAGCAACAAGCAACCAACCACAGAGCAACAAAAAAATACTCCTGTGAGGTTTTACAGCATGATCACTAAAAAGCTGGACATTGTTAGTCAGACTAAACAAAGGTGTTTTTCCACATGCTAGTGCAAGAAGTTGCACAGAACAGTGATAGCTGGCAACAAGCTCCTACTGATCACAATTTTCCTGTCTATTTGCTTTAAACAATTTGTGATTTTTACAAAGGTAGAAGTATATCACAGGTTGGTATATTACAGAATGGTCTAAGTATAACACAAATGACCTCTGGCTTTTGAGGAAAGCAAGAGTTTGCTTTACAGTTACAGCTGAAATCATTAAGACATGATGAATGCATAGCTGTCTCCAAAATATGGTAGCTGTGGATCTGGAATACTGGCCTCACTTCAAATCAACAAAGATTTCTTCAACAGAAGGAAAGGAAATTAGATAATATGGGAGCAATTTGATAAGAAACTTTTAGGTCATTAGTGAACAGAAGGTACGACATCAATCAGAGACAAGCCTTCAACAAGAAGATAGCCTGCAAAAGTCTCGGACCTACTTTTGAATGGGAACAAAGTGAAAGAAATTTGAGCAAGATGTTTGCTGGGGAGGGGAGAGGGGGAAGTGTTGCAAGGACTGAAGAACTCGGAAGGAAGACACCACGTTTGCTGCCTCCCAGCTTCAACAGAAGTGAACTCATCACATGTACTCTCTGCAGGAATGTCCTCTGGCAACAACTGCTGCTCCTGGTCCAAAACTTGCGCTGACATCAATGGAACCACACGAAGCTAGGGAAGAAAACCCTGGCTTGACTAAAACTAACAGAAATTTTGATAAAGCCTTCAAAGAAGGATAAGACTATGCTAGAGAATCATATTTCAAACAGACTAAAAATCTTGGTGCTAAATTTTACTAATATATTAAAAGGAAAATTCACCCACATACTCAGCTGCAAAATTCAAGTTGGGCCAATAATTTTACTGGAAATATGCTAATTCATACCAGCCAAAACTTTGCTCCTTTTACATGCTGATGTTACACAACTTGAAAAGAACTAATTCTACAGATAAAGTGTATTTCTTCTTACATAAATTAATGGCTATCTTTAATGGTATAATATTAATTAATTACATGACAAAGCAGGTTTTAGAAGCAGAATTGAAACCTCCATGCTTTGGGAGTAGAAGGGAGGGAAGGGGAGGAAAGAAATGAAAAGAGCAAGAGTGAGCTGAAACCAAGGAATAAGTATCCCAAAGACCTAACAGGGAAATAAGAATTTTCATGACACTTCAACTTTTAAAGTGTATTCAAGTTTCAAAAAGAAAAAAAACCTACTACATTAGAGCTAACATATATTCTAAGCAGTTGAATCAGTTTCTTGACATTTAATACATTTAATTTGTAACAGAGTAGCTTTCCAAGCAAGAGAAGGGACATCTATAGAAGCCACACAATGACTGTCAGCGAAAGCCATTTTAAGCTTTTTCCTAAAATCTCTTGCTTTGTTGAAGGGGGAGGAATCTGTCCCTCAATAAAGGGTAAGATCAATCAATTTCCCTTCAGGAAAGCTGAACAGGATGAGTCTGAGGTCAGAGGGACAGAATAGGAGAGCCGGTCAGGCAAAAATAAGTGTCAGGGAGGATGGTATTGTGTATTTACAAAGGAGTTGAATTTGGATGGACACAAGAGGACAAGCTCTCCTCACTTTTCAACTATTTACTACTTTTGCTGGCTGTCAGAAGGGATTCTTAGTTCAGGTTTCATTGCGAGAGGATTGCTGCAGACATTTCTTCCACACTGCTTTGAAGATTCATATCTGGATGAAAAGTATTTCCAAGTGTCAGCCTGAATAAATCTCGACTTCATTTATTCAGAGTAATGATGACATCCAGTGGCCACCAAGTTTATCTCAGCCTACAACAGCAAGATAACCTCTTATATCAGAAGAGATAATCTCTTTCCATAAAGGTATATATTAACTCTGCTCTTCCACCTCCTAGTCTAAAATTAGGAGTGCATTACAAGGAACACTAAAATCATGGAGCAAGATTCTTTCTATTCAGGTCCTCATGTGAACTCTAACCAAGCCTTTTCCAGTTCTGCCTCACATTGAAAAAATATTAAAAAAAATTGCAAAAACTCTTAAGCATTTCCATGGTACTCAAAGAAAATGGAAATCAGCAAAAATAAATGTACATCAAGGAAGAGGGGTGGGGTGGGAAAACCTGCATATGCACACACGCACAAGCTGCTCAAGCTGTTACAAGCACTTGCCACATCTACCAAACTCAGTCACACATACATGCTTTTAAAAGACATGGAAGAAACCACTTTTCAAAGTGCTTAAAAAAAAAAAAAGTTTTTGTTTTCCACTTTGTAAAGAACTCAGTCAAAATATGAAAAGGTAACACTTAAAAGCATGCACCTGTTAAATACTTACTTGCCCAAATATTTCTGGCAGTCCCAAAACTTGACCAGTGAAAACACCAATACAGATGAAAATCGCTGTCACCTGACCCAATGAACCACGGATTTCCTTAGGAGATATTTCACTCAAATACATGGGAAGGGCACTTAGAGAAATGCCTACGAACGAAGGAAAAAACCCATATATTAAGTCAAATACCTTTCATTATGCCAGCTACAAAACAAATGTCTATTGAAAGGAGTCTTGAGTGCTAATCTGCTCACAGGACTGGCATAAAAACAAGCAAAGAACAGAATTATATCTACCCACATCCATATGAATTATCTTCTCTGCGTGCCTAATTCCTCTTGCACCATTTAATAACCATGGGATTGAGTACATGTTACAGATCTACAGTGATGTGCATGGGCTGCTATTTGATGAGAAGCATCAAAGGTTACTCAGAGATGAGAATCACCAGGAGAACAGACTTTATGTTTTAAATTTGTTCATCCCAAAGCAAGCAAAATCACGTTAGCACTGATGCAGATAAGGAAAAAAAAATCTCAATGTGTCAAGCAGAGAGAGCAGACACTGTCAGATGAAACATTTTTACTGTAAACAGTATTAGCAGATGTTCCTCTCAATAAAAGCTTACAGCTGCAATGAACTCTTAATAGCAGGCATAAAGTAAGGGCAAGAATGCTGCTCAAAGCCAGAAGAAAACAAATGCATGACCCTGGTTAGCACACTGACAATATTTACACAGCTCCAGAAGTTTGGTCATTTGGTGGTAAACTGAGATAAAAATTAGCAGTCAGCACCGAAATCACCCATGAACTTCGCATTGCAGGTGATGGACATCCACTTTCAAACAACTATAGTTTGTGCTTACTAACAACATAGCCAAAGCTTGCCAAAAAAGGGGCTTAGTGATGCAAAAATTAAAGCACCTTCCATTGTTTAGAGTCACACAATTACACTGAGAGTTTAAAAGCATCTTAATTCATCAAGTCTGTCCTCACATTAGGTAAATATTTCTCACTATTTAGCAATCTGTGAAGTTGCTGAGAACCTCACTGCTAGCTGCAAGACTCTTTTGGTGCAGCAGTGCCTCCATGATTTACTTTTAAACTGGGAAGACCAAGTTGCTAGGAGCAAATTATGATCTACCAAACTATCCAATTAATCCTACTGGCATTAGCATGGGATGCAACAACTTTTAAACACAGAGCAGCAAGTAACTTTAATAAATATATAACACCCTTCTAGCCACAGGATTTTCATGGCATGAGGACAGATACAGTATACTAGGGCTGCAGGAGGAAAGGCAGAGGAACAACCAGGGTGGACAGCAGCAGCTAGCATCCATTCTGGTGTCTTCTCAGATCCTCCAACCCTTAGTCTGCTGTGCTGTCCCAGTGAATCATCATGGCTAGTCCCCAAAATGAATCTTTAGCGTAAATAAAGTCCTAACTGAGGGAAAGGAGAAAGATTATGCATGGCAGAAGCATTTCAGATATATACAGCATGTTAAAAGCTTACCTGCATCAACACCCATTATAATGCGGCCCAGTATGAGCATTTCAAATGACCCCGCCAACAAGGAGAGGGACATCAACAACGCAGCTGCCACTGCAAACACATTATTGAGCAGCAATGTACATTTCCTAAAAGGAAAAGATATTTTATGTAGCTACCGGCATCATGACAGTTAAATCCAGTCGTATCCAAAGCACACTAGGCTATTAATCTTAAATACACATAAATAAAACCAAAAAATGCTTAACAAACACTGACTCTTAGATGTTGTGTAGACTTCCAAAATACAATACTATACCCAAATGGTTAGTGTTCCAAACCTATACCACAGTTTAAAAATAAAACATATTGTAGTCAACCAAAGAGCTGTAGCTCAAACACATGCAAATTAGCCATCCTACACATCCTAAGAACCCAAGTGCCATGCCTGAGATTCTGTATATGAATATAAACAAGCGTACTCTGGGTAAATGTATGTACGTAGGAACCAGAGAATATAGTTCAAATAGTAATAAGCTGATATAACTACAGGCTTTTTAATGCTACATATAGTTTTTACCATTTTGAGAACTTCCCAACACTGACATACTTGTGCCATTATAATTTACCCTTAAACCCACGATACTAAAAATGTACATTGAGGAAAATTACTCACTACTTGTGGGTTAGAAAAAACACTTGGGCTCACATGAGTGATAAAAATCAACCTTTTACCAAAAACTGTTGAAATTAACCAGAGATTTACATTTTCTTCTTTCCAATTTTTAAGTTATTTCATTCTATAGCAATCAAATAAAACATGAAAAAATATTTCTTTCAAAAAAAACCCCAGAGAAATATTCTTTATGGAAAATTACTCCTTTGTCAAAAAAATAAAAACAAAATAACAAAAATGTATTTTTAAAATTTTGAAACATCTCTATTTCTCATTTGCACTACAACAATAGCTGCATTTCTGATAGTTTTCATATTTCACAACTTTCTGCTCAAGTTTGAGGGACTCAATTCAGAAGTGACTCATAAGTCTCATAACTTCTGCAGAAGGAAATACTTTACAAAATAAATTATATGTAGGATTTCACAGGTCTTTGACAGTCAGTTTCAAACACTGACATCCAAGGTCTCATTTCCTGAACACATGGAAGAAGACTGGTTAAAGATACAAGATCAATAGCTCTGCTGCAATCTATTGAAAGATGAAGTAGAAAACCCACCCAGATCTCAGAGAATCCCTGTTACCTATATCTCTTCACAAATACAGATTTAAGTGGCTTTTTGCTAAATTACAGCCTGCAGGTGAATGGCTGAAGGAGCCATTATCATCAGGTTCAGCCTTGCCACTGACTGAAGAGCTTCTTATGATTCCCAGACAGGGTCCCAGGGATATCTGCTGGAGATGTGGTGGCCTCTCTACAGCACATCACAGTGAGAGAGCTGTTTTGCATTGCTTATGACCTAACACAACACAAACCACTATAATTTTCACAGTTACGTGACAGGAGAATGATCATACCCTACGCTTTCCATCTGTGAGTCACCTCGTTTAGCTATACACAGCAAAGCAACGGATCTTTGTCTTTACTAGGTTTTGCAGCCACATAATTAAGCACAGTCTTGTTTTAGCTCGAGAATTACAACTCAATACTGAAGCCTCCAATCCCACTTACAACAATGTATGAAGGAAACAACTGATTTGAAAACAAATTTACCTCAACATCACTAATGATGTAAATTATGAGGAATCCATTAACTTTGACAGTAAATGACACAGGCTGAGAATACATCAGTTGTATTAAAAAACTGAAGTGGTATTACATTTCTAAGTATTCTCAATAGATTTTTCAATCTCTATATATTGTAATTTCCATGCAAAAAAGCAGAAATGACCAGAAAGGCTGTCTACCATTTTCTTTTCCTAAGCAGGTAACAAACCAATCCAGCAGCCATTCTTCTCAAGTTCAACACAAAGGTACCAACTGGAAATCTCCTACCCACTGAATAAGTCATCCAGTTTCTTACAACACATCAATACATTTTTTAATAGGGAATATTTTTAACACTTGTATTTTTAATTACTTTTCCTGCTTTCTGGTGATTTTTGAACAGTGAATGAATAACATGGTTTGAGGACCAAAAAAAGAGATACAGCTCATTTAAAGTATAAGTTTATACAGCATAGCTGTCAAGAGTGATGATTTTACCATTTGAAACAAATTTTTCAAATTGATGCAATTTGAGAGGGATGAAGTGATATAAATAATGCCAAAAATAGACACAAAATGTCCATTAAGGTCAAACAAGTGCTATATATTAATCAGAAGATATTACTTTCCTCTTCTTTAAATTAAATAAAACCTATAAAACATACATCTTTTTAGGAAAAGCTGCCCAGTGACCCCTTATGCTACACAGAAAAGCACAGCCTAACTAACAAAGACAAAATCAAAGGATTTTGTCTTTGCCAGACTGAAAAAAACTGAAAACAAGAAAGTAACACACTGTTCAGAGTGTTACTATATAAAGCACGTAAATTTTTGGTAACGAAAACCAAGTGCTGGGTGTCTGTGGCAAGGTTTTGGAAGTGAAGGGGCTGCAGGGGTGGCTTCTGTGAGGAGATGAAACAAGAGAGTAACAAGGGCAGTGGAAGAGAAGGTGCTCCAGGACTGAGCAGGTACATCCGCAGAGGGACTGTGGCCCATGGAGGACCCACACTGGAGCACAGGAGAAGAGTGAGAAGTAAAGAGTGGCAGAGAGAAGTTGCTACGCACTGACCCTGACCCCTTGCACTGCCTGTTCTGTCACTGAAGTGAATGAGTGTGACCTGCCATGGTACCAAGGGGGAGGAGAGGAGCCTGGAATGATGTTCAGCCTGGGAAAGCAGGAGGAAAAGTGTCCTAATGTTTGTCTTGTTTCCCAGTACCTGATCACTAATTAAATATTTATGCTAAATGGCAATAAATTAAGTTAAATTCCCCAAGCTGAGTCTGTCTTGCCCATGACAGTAATAGTGTTTTCCCTTTCTTCAGTTTGACTCATGAGTTTTCTCACTCCTGTTCCTCCTCCTTCTCCCCAATGCCCCATCCCACTTGTGGGGTGGGGAGTGACAAGCAGCTGGGTGGGTGCTTGAATGCCAGCTGGGGCCAACCCATCACAAACATAAACAGTGGGAACAAGGTCTCATCACTGCTCTTAGGAAAAAAATACAGCAAACCCCTCCAAACTCCCCATGCTGTCTCAGTTTAGTTCCAATCAGGTCATGTTACATTCAAACTTGCTACAATCATAAAAAAGTTGTGCTTTCCTGGTCATGTAGAGCAAAACTGTAATACCTTAGCAACAAGGCATAGGAAAAAGAAACTAATCAAAAAACCCTGACAAACCACTGCTTGTATAGCTCTACTATAAGTGATATGAAGATATCACACTTCATAAAGCACCGCAGCAGACACTTTCTCTTGGGAAAGTCCAACCAATCTTGTCAGATAATTGTGCTCATCACACTTACAAAGTGTAAGCATGCAAACTGCTAAACGAAGCCACCACAAGAAGACACACGCTGATGTGTTGGTCAGCCTAATAATTTCTTCAGGGATCACAAACTGATCAAGCAACTGTTCAAATGGTACACAAAACTTATTGAAGCATATACATCATACTGAGTTCTTGCATAGCATATTTCATTTTTCAGTCTTACTGAAGGTTATAGAGCACACCAGTGTCTCTATTTTTGTAACTGGGTAAACAGAAGAATGGACAGCAAAATGAACTCAACCTAAAGCTCATGTGCAAAACAGTGCCAGAGGTGAGAAAGCGAACCTGAACTCAAGTTCTAGTCCAGAGCCCCACATGGTTCTGCTGCAGCTATTGCACTGAAAATACTAGATTAACATTCATTTAGATAAAGATATTTTTGTTCCTTCCATTCAAATAATTCAGAATTTTCTCCTTTTCCACAAGGAATAAAGCATTTATGCATCCCTTAAGGAAGACGCTTTCAAAAACTTCTGATTGAGCACAGATTATCTGTCACAAGTACCTACATCCTAAGCTAAATGGTAAGTTTTGCAATTTAGTACCAAATCTGGTTCTCTCTAAGACTGGCTATCTGTATTGTTGCAGGAATGTAACTTCCAGTCCTGTACTCCAACTGAAATAGTCCTAAGAGAAGAACAATTTGTTCAGTAGAAATCAGTTTGCATAAGTATTCCAGCTGAGACAGACAGTTCACCCATCAGCTAAACACAAATAGAGCTAAGCTTTAAGGATTTTTTTCTGCTGTCTTCTTTTTTAGGTATTGTGGATATTGAAATAACTTGATCATCTCTTCCTCAGAACTGTCCTTGGCTTTTTGCAAAATCACGTATGATTGATTAATCTCTTGTGATTTCAAGGTTGCCATTTGCTCCCATGATATAGGAAAGGCCAAAACAGGATCCTAGAGACTGCAGGCCCTCCATGGCTGCAGTAACTTTAATTAGGGATTTGAATTAATAAACTTTTTGTCTAAAACTCACAACTAGGAAAAAGATAGAATTAAAGTTTCCCCAAAACATGTACTGTTGTCTCAAAATTCAATAATAAGAAAGAATTTCCACATGGCAGCAAATATGACACTTACACTAAAAGTATAGAAAGGAAACTAGGTGTTTAAATAACAAGCTGACAAAGCCAGCAACAGGTTGAATACTGGATCACCATTTTGACTACAGTAGATGACTTCAGAATAAAAGAAGTGAAAGCATTACTAAGAAAATCCACATAAATTCCCTTAATCATTTCATACTCAAAACGGTTCACTGTGCTTGAGGGAAGGCCTTGTCCCTCTCTTGCAAATGCCTCCTCAGCAGTGGCCTCAGCAACCCACTGAGCACATCACTCTGGGTGTTCAGGATACACAACAGCAGCTGCTCTTTGGTAGAAGAAAATAATCTAAATTATGAAGTGTTAAAGCCACATCTGAACGTGGGACTTGTGGTTATGTGGATGAAGGCTCTCTTTGAAAAAACTACTCATCTCTCTTGAATTAAGCAGGGCCTAGGAATCTGGTAATTTAGAAATTATGTCATTACCTCTCCTACGAGGACAGGCTGAGAGAGTTGGGGCTGTTCAGACAAGAAAAGAGAAGGCTTCAGGGAGATTTTATAGCAGCCTTCCAGTACCTGAAGGGATCTACAAGAAAGCTGTGTGGTATTACAGTTTTGCTCTACATGTTGAGGAAAGCATGGCTTTTTTATGATCGTAGCAAATATGAATGTAACATGACCTGATTTGAACAGTAAGGCCAGGGAGAAAGGCACCAATTTTACTCTCAGAAATTCAGAACTCTTAGAAATGAGCTTTCATAGAAATGTTTACATTTGCATTCTGGTGAAGAAGGTTGGTTTCTTTTTTTAAAAAAAAATAAAAGTAAAGCCTTCTAGAGAGACCAAGGGAGAAATTGCTTTAGAAACTAGAATTTTTCCATTACACTTACCGGCCGAAGAACTTCACAATTGGGGTAACAATAATGGCACCCACAAGGCCACCAATGGCAAAAATAGAAACAGTTATAGACCAGAGGAGAGTCAGTGTGCCTTCATCCACTGAGAAGCCATATCTTCTTTCCCAAGTTTCATTGTAAAACTTCTTGATATACTGAAAGAAAATACATAATAATAATAATAATAATACATGCAAAAATAACTTTTTAAGAACACTGACAGAAACGGAGTAAGAAAACTCCAACAAAACCCAGTAGTCTGCTTGCAGGAATCAACCTTGCTTTTCCATGTAAAAATAACTTTTTAAGAACACTGACAGAAGGGGAATAAAAAACCAAAACAAAACCCAATAGTCTGCTTGCAGGAATCAACCTTGCTTTTCTATCTCCCTCCTCTGAAATCATCACTTCTAGATGCAAGTGTAATACAGAGTACCCAAACCAGTCAAAGCATACATATGCCTAACTACATGCAAGTCATAAACACGGTGGGGGAAAAAAAACAAGTAGACATGAATGTAGAACAGGCTTATAAAAGAGAAACTATAAAGCAAGGATGTTACCATTCAGATTGTCAGTACAACATCAACAACAGTTTGTTTTAGCTTTACTGTGTATAAATATACAAACATTTCAGCCCGAACTGGGACTAACAGCTCAGACATAGAATCACAGAATGGTTGAGGTTGGAAGGACCCCTGGAGGCCATCTGGTCCAACTAGGACCATGCTTAGAGGTTTCAGAATATCTCTAAGGCTCCACAACATCATGCCACCATGCTTGGCACAGCACTGCACATTGGCTGAGCTCTGCTCACCACGCACATATATACTCTTAACCTCAGGCAGGTGACATATCACATCCTAGTGTAACAGTTTTTTGGACAAGCCAAGCAAAACTGCACTGCCTAGCATTTGGATTGACTTTTAAAGAAAGAACATGCTAACTACTGTTAGTCAATCAGTTTGTTGAGTCACTGATCATTAATCAGTCCAATCTTATATTAAAAGTTTTTTTTAATGGATTTATAGTGCCAATAACTGGGAGAGGAGGGAGTGGAGAGCAGGAGCCTCCAGTAGCAGGTAAAGACAAAAATGTGTTGAAGAAATTGGTGAATTGGCAGAAATGCAAAGGTAACAAAGAGAAAGGGAGTTGCAACCAGTTCCTGACAGATGGCAACATGGCTGACACCAAGAGAACAGTTTGGCTTGTCTTACAGGACATGTCTTACCATGTGCTCACCATGAAACAACATCTATAACCTCTATTTTGTATTTCAGACCTATAATGCAGTTCTCAGATTTGCTAAAAATTAAGTGCCTTTTACTAGACTGTTTTTCCCAAAAGGCCAGTATTGTAAAAGTGAGTGACTCTACAAATTCTTTAGCATTACACTGGGCAAAAAAAAAAAAAAAAAAAGATAAGAGTGATTTGAAAACAATTAGCATTAACAGATTCAGCAAGGGAGGCTGTGTCCACTTTTCCACTGTATTTAGGACACCGTCACATCTGGCAGCCATACAAAATCAAGGATCTACTAAGCCAAGCAATGAAAGATAACATCTTTCTCCCAAACAATTTAGTCAAGACAAATAACTGTTACAGGAGGGAGGCAACAGCTGTTGGTTTGATATTGATGGGCGGAAAAAAAAAAGCCCACAGTATCAGTCAAAAAGAGCTAGTTGCCTGACGGTTAAAATTAACAATCCCAAATCACTTTTTGATGTTATAGCTTCTCCCCTTCAAATTTACATAAGCTGCTTTTTGAACAAAATTCAGGCTGCTAAAAAGTAAGCAATTTCTTTCCAGAAATTAAAGATGTATCAAACATGAAATCAGACACCTAAGATCCTGATAGGTATCCATCTGCCAGATAGGCTGGTTCTCTTAAGAAATAAAAACCTGAGACTATCTTCTAACTCTTCAGCTATCCTGAGACCTACACTTTTGTCCCATGACAGCTTAATTTCCTTTAGAGCCTTCCGTAAGGGCCTTCCCAGGATATTTGTTGAAAGTTCAAGTGCCTCTTGAATCTCTAGAAAACTCCAAAAGATGTCTGAGTCAAGGTTCTGCTTTGTAAAAGCCATGCCAGCTCTTCCCAAATTCTCATTTTCTACTACAGCTTCTGCTAGTTTGTCAGGTACAAATAACTAATTCTCAGCATGTATGTTCCAAATTTTCCCCCTAAAAACTACATATTTCTCAAAGTCACATTAACCCTCTCAATACCTCTGTTACTGAAGTTGTTTTAAAAGAAGCTGAACTGTGATACGAACCCTATATATTGAGCTATCTTTTTGGTCTTGAATAAATATTAAGGTATTTTTGCAATCTGACACAAAATTATCACTATTTTTACTCAATATCTCTACTGACATTTCAGCTTCTCCAATATATCCCCTACAAAGAAGGTTCCAGTGTGAGACCTCCCCAGACTTTTCCAATATAAAGTATTAATTCAGGTTTCTCCCTCTGTCCTGCTATTTTCTGAACATACTTTTTCAGCTTCATCTAATGGCCTTATATCCCAAAGCCCTCTGTCTGAACTTTTTTTGTGCCTTCAATGTGACAGAGTTTATATTCTTTTTCTGCTTTCCTCACATGAGCACAACTGCAGGTTTTTGAAGGTTGCCTTCTAACAACTTCCCTTCCCTGATGTTTAATTACACCAAAGCTTCTTCATCTTTCTAAAAAGTAAAGATGTCATAGCACCAGTATGACATTTTGACGTAGCCTCTGTATCGCCTGCAGAGACATCACCTATTTATTTTCTTTTCAGTTAAGCTTCCCAATTTTCACGCTGTTCCCGTTCTGAAATCAAGCAAAGCTCTGATGCCACTGTGGCATCTGATGCTTTGGTGAGGATACATTACCAAGCTCTCCTGGTTTTGGTAGGATAGAGTTAATTTTCTTCTTAGTAGCTAGAAAGCACCGTGTTTTGGTTTCAGTGTGGGATTTGTTATGAGAAGAAAGTTGGTAACATACAAGGACACAGTGTTTGGGTAGTTTGCGAATGTAAAGGACTGGGAGGTGGAAAGTGGAGAAGTTAGCAAAACCCAGAATTGGCATTTGGATATGCCATTAAGATATTCCATATCATATTATGTCATGTTCAGTAGACTAAAAAGGACTGACTGGAAAGCTGGGGAGATTCTCTCAGGGATCACTCGGGCTCGCTCTTCTGGGATTGTGGTTTTGGGTTCATGGTTCCTTTTCACTTCTCTAGGATCTTGGCAGGTTGTGAGCAATTGAACTGTGCATCACTCAACTATACATATACATATATAGATATATATTTGTTATCATTATTATGATAATTACTACTTTAATTTTATTTTACATCGATTATTACATTGTTCTTATCTCAACCTACAAGTCTCATTACCTTTGCCCCTCCAATTCTCTCCTCTATTTCTTGGGGGGGCAGGGAAGGTGGGGGGTACAAGTGGTTGTGTCATGTTTGGCTGCCAACTAAGTCGAACTACCACACAGGCAGACACTACTGCAGAGGGGCACAGCATGCTTGTGTAATGCTGTCACCCGTTCTGTGTCACTGCTCCCCAAAAACCTCTGCAGTATCACAAAGTTTAATCTTGGGACTTTTCCCCAGTTTCTTCTTGGATTTCCTCCAGCACATCATAGGTACTAAATTGTCCTGGGGCAGCCTTTGGCAGGATAAGCCTAACAACTTATTTTCCCTGTTAAAACCAGGAATTCAAACTTTAGGTATTCTGGCCTTGGAGACATGGACTATTTGATCTGAGGACTTTATTTAGTTTGAAACACCACCTCTCTACCTGTAAAGTATCTAAGAAAGGTGGAGGTAGAATGTACCATTTACTGTCTTCCTTCTATCAAGTTTCTAGTAGGCCTCTCGTGTCCCGAATTAAAAAGTAGACAGGGGTATTTCTCCCATCCTATCTTATGTGTTTCTATACAAAGGGTCAGAAAAAAACACAAAAAAAGAAATAAAAAGTCAGTTTGGTGCTTGATCCATTTAGAAGAATTTCACAGTAAACTTCCAAATTAATCTGTCACTAAATCAGGTAATACATCTTAGTTCTTTAACACCAATACTCAGATTACATTTACATTCAGATATCTTCTTATTTATTTGAAGTTCATTTCTAATAGCAATGAATACAAAGAGAAAACATTTTTAGAACATTATTAGCATTTCTTGATCATGATAATGGCTAAAAATAGTATGCAAATTGTTCTCCCCTTGTGTTACGACTGATTTTCTCAGCATAGCTTTGTTATTTACAAGGAGACACTAAATAATTGCAAATATTCAAGAAAAGAAAGCACAAACTACAACACTCAATAATAACAGATAAATGTGCTGCCATGTACATTACCTGTGTCTGGATTCCCATTGCCAATAAACAGGAAGCTAATAACAAACACAGGTTTTGAGGAGTTGGACATGAAACAAAACAAATCTGATCCAGCAAATCCACTGGATTTGAATCCTTTGAATTCTGTGGAAAGGCTCCTTTGGCTTTTTAATCAACAGTATACAAAAAAATTAGCCCCTAACCAACACCTACAAGGAATGTTAGCTGACTGATATCAGTATCTCATATTCTGCTGCCTCAGTTCACTACGGTAGTAGTGCTAGGGTGGGAAATACAAGGTGAATATAAGGGATGTGTGTATTTTTTTATATATAAAAATAAGGGATATATTTTAAATACAAGGGAATTATTTTCCTTGTCTCTTTAGCTGTAAATAACTTAAATCAAGGGAAGAGATGAGTTGGTCTTTAGAGAAGAAAAATTACCCTACCCATAGTGATGAGGGTAACTCACACACGACAGCTATCGCAATGGCTGACACAGCAGGCTATACATTTTTTGCAATAGTCCCACTTTCCCCAGATCAGCTCCAAAAGGCCTGCAGAGCTGCAGCTGCGCACAGGAAGGGAGGAAGCACTGTGTGGCAGTAAGTAGTAGAGGCTTCGCTTCCCGCACAGAGCACAAAGCACATCATTGTTCTACAGACTTTGCTCACAACCGGTCCATGGAATGAACTGTAGAAATTAGTCTCAGGAAAGACAGCTTCAACTTGTGTTCAACTAAAGCATGTGTCTTCCTACTGCCAAATGCTCCCACAGACTTTAATAAATTCTGGAAACTCTTTGAACAAGCCCACGGAGACTTCTAATTCTGGGTTTCTTGTGTGGTCAAGCACTGTGTAGGAGGAAGCACACCTGCGATGGGCCACCGCTCTTTCCCACAGAAAGGTAGGGGACTGAGTGGGAACCACCTCAGTTCTGAGCAGAGCTGGTGCAGTTTATTCCACCCTTCCAACCAAAAGGAAGTTGGACTGACTCTACCTTAAGAGGTGACCTGCAGTAAAGTTCACTGGTGAGAACTGCAGGGGTATTCCCCTGTGGATTGATGAGCTGGCACAACTAAATGTACACAAGAATTTACAAACAGTTATTCAATGCCTCAGCCTTAAATGAACTTTCCCCTGCCCCCGCCACCTCAGTCGTTGTGCTAACGTGTTCAGTTCCAGGATCCTGGAAACATCATGTTTTAGTCAATAGTTATTATCAACACAGCACAGAATGAAATGTACACAAGAATTTACAAACAGTTATTCAATGCCTCAGCCTTAAATGAACTTTCCCCTGCCCCCGCCACCTCAGTCATTGTGCTAATGCGTTCAGTTCCAGGATCCTGGAAACATCATGTTTTAGTCAATAGTTATTATCAAGCATTTTTTCAACACCTCTCAAAGCATCATACAGTCCTTCTCTAAGGTTGGAAGACTTTACACATCAAAAGCAATTATACTGAAGTAAATAGGGGAAGAAGAGAGCCAACATGCTACAGAGAGATGCTGATACAATGCAGGTTGTAGCTGGATGTCACCAAAACAAGATTCTTCCCCTCTACTCTGCTCTCGTGAGACCCCACCTGCAGTACTGCATCCAGTTCTGGAGCCCCCAACATAAGAAGGACATGGATGTACTGGAGTGAGTCCAGAGGAGCACTAACAGGATGATCCAAGGGCTGGAGCACCTCTCCTATGAGGACAGGCTCAGAGAGTCGGGGCTGTTCAGCCTGGAAAAGAGAAGGCTCTGGGGAGACCTTATAGTGGCCTTCCAGTACCTGAAGGGGACTTTTTACAAGGGCTCATAGGGGTAATGGCTTCAAACTGGAAGAGGGTAGATTTAGATTAGATATTAGGAAGAAATTCTTTCCTGTGAGGGTGGTCAGACACTGGAACAGGTTGCCCAAGGAAGTTGTAGATGCCCCCTCCCTGGAAGTGTTCAAAGCCAGGTTAGATGAGGCTTTGATCAACCTGGTCTAGTGGAAGGTGTCCTTGTTCATGGCAGGGGGGTTGAAATTAGATGATCTTTAAGTTCCCTTCCAACCCAAACCATTCTATGGTTCTATTTGTTCTATTAAGGTTATAAATGAAACCTGGCTTACAGCTTTTAGGAATTACTGTACTACAAATATAACCTCTTATAAGAGTGCTGTTTATCTACAGCTAAAAGCTATTCCCCTTTGGTTTTCCTTAGCCACCTCACATAAGTATTCCTAAAGAGTCACCTTGCAGCAGACTGATTTGGTGACATACAGGGGAAACTGATGGGGCAAAGTTTCCTTTTCTTGTGCTGCAAGAAGCACAGCTTTGGTACTGCTCGCTTCTCCCCACCACAGCTACGAGCAGAGCCCAGACTCTTCCCTTCAACCTGGTTACTGCAGCTCCAGGGACAGGGACAGGAAGGTGGCCTGCCCTAGGCAAACAGATGACACAGATGGTCCCTGGGGCTAGAGAGAGGACCAGAGGCCACACTGGTATTTTGTTCTTGAACTACACAACTATGTATTCCTTTGTCCGTAGGACTATTCCTGAGCCACAGCTAATGTATAGCTTAACATGAATAAGACACAAAGTTCTCAAACACTGAAACACCATGCTGGAAAAAGGGAGACTTTGTGCATACCTGTCAACAGTATGATCAAAACCATCATCAGCATGGTACCCAGTTTCAGTCCAAAAGCAACAGTGAAGATTCAGCAAAATCCTGGAAGCGTTACTAACCTCAATGCCTGGAATTTAGTATTTGTCACGGTACGGTTGCAACTTCAACCTCCCTACCCGCACTCCAGTCACCACTATAATCTATCACATGGTTCAAACCTAAGTGTCTGAGTGTTGCCAAACAGCATGCCCTATCATACTTTCTTAACTCCTGCAGAAAGTGGCAGGAGAGTTGTGATTACCAGGACAGCCCATTTTTCAAATGGCACTTAGTTTAGAAATTGGATCATTCCCACTGATCTGTTGACAGTACCGAGGCAGTGCAGGGAGGATGTCTACCATTAGGACAATCAATACCATTGTTCACAGAATTTCAGCTTC